GAGGCTTATTGCCTATTATGACTTGAACCATTTTTAAATCATCACTGGCTAGAAGAAACTTCCATATTGATGAGTTAAATATCTTAATTTATGCGACTCAACCTAATTTATGTTGTATTGTAAAATCTTTGCAACTGAAGATTTGTCTAATTTATTTTGGTAAGAAATTTCCATGCTACAGTTAGTCGGTGGTATCTTATGACTTCTGACTTGGGACCTTTTTTTAGTCAAATGATGTAATCAAAATGTTCTTATGTTGGGTAAGGCTCCCTTTCCATTTGATCGTGATAGACATTCTCACATTCATTTGTCTTTGTAAAGCTATTAAACTTTTCCGGTCATATATTAATTCAAGATTTTGTATTGCATTGCTAAAAATGTTATCAAAAAAACTGATTCATCGTATCATAATTCTGCGGAAGAATTCTTGTATGGAAAATCAGTCAATTTATGGTTTATAAATTTGAAGTTCCTACTTTTTTAGCTTGGGTTCAAATCAATGTTAGCTTAATTAATGTCAGTGGCATTTGTAAGTTCTTAATGCTACCCAGACTTTTCTATTTTGATGTTTTTTTTAAAAAATTATATATATATATATATTTTCTACATTTACCAAAAGGTAATGCTTATCAATATTTTTCTGGATTTCTATAGTGTATAAATATGTTTACACTATATCTTGCAGCAATATTGTGTAGATTTGATATTATTGTAGATTCAGTTATTTATCTTATTATAGACGTGATACTTCATTTTCTTATTATGCTAAATCTAGAAAACTATTAGCCTTAATCTCGACCAATAGAGTTAGAGGAAAGTCACTTCCAGAATTCATTTTATAATGTGTACTTGTCCTCCCAGTCTTTCTTTGTCGCTTGACGGGAGTGACAAAAGGACTTATCCCAAATAAGTTCTTTTATGGAATCCAGAGCAGACCATTACCTCATCGGACGGTGTTATATACTTATATTTGAACGCAGGGGAAGAGTTTATACTGTAAACTTATGCCATACCGTATTTAGGAACCTTTGTGCAGATGTCATATATAGCAGTTAACATGATAATTTTAGTTGTTCTTTATCTTCTTAAAAAAAAAAAAGTAGTTGTTCTTTGATGCACACCATCCATGTCGGCTGATTATTTGACCAAGTTAGCCCCACAAGTTCAGTTTCTTATAGACCAATTATAAGGACTTAAATCAGGCAACGATTGAGTTGAACTGAACCAATTTTCATACATTTTAGGCCATTTTTTTATTCGAATTTTGCATTTATTATTTTATTAATTTTATTATTACATTAAATATAATCATGGTATGGGTATGCTCATCCTCATTTTAGGTATGGACAAAGAGAAAATGACCAAAATAGTCCCTTGACTCTTTATGAAAGAATAAAATAGTCTCCGATTATATTAAAGAACTATTTTGGTCTCTCAACTCCTTAAAGAAGAATCAAAATAGTCTCACTATTGGATTATTTTGGTTCCTTTTTAAGGACTTGATGGATCAAAATGATCCTTTAATATAGGGGACCATTTTGATCCTTAATTAAAAGTATAGGGACCATTTTAGTCTTTTTCCCTATGGATAAAGATTCTTTCATCTATATCCTATGTTTGTTTTTCTTAAAAATGTGTTATATGTAGATTTTAATTATTGATTGTATTTGTTAAATGGAATAAATGTGATAGGAAATACTTAAGTTGGCAAGTACCCCTTAAGGGAAATACTTGAGTTTGCAAGCAAACCTAACAGTAATTGGTGAAAAACAACAAGAAAGCTGCTGATTTCAGAGAGAAATCAGCACTAAGATGCAGAATTTTCAGGAAATTGGAGAGAAAAACACAAGCAAACTTCTTCTATTCAATCCACGAACAAGAAAAAACAATAAACGATACAAGTTTCTTTAATTCGAGAGGAAGAAACAACTCTCCAAATATCTAGCCAAGCCTAAAGTCCAAAGGAATAAACCCTAGATTTGAGCATTTGATTTCAAACTCAAGATGAAACTCTAATTCTTGCATTAGTAACTAATTGAAGCCAAAGGAGAAATATAAAATCCCTAAACAATCCCTCATTCAAATATTTCCCTCCAAAGCAATTATTAATCAAGATGTGGGCCCCATAGGAGCAGTCGGCCCCTTCCATTCCTTCTCCCTTCCTTGGGCCAACGACTGTAGAATAAAATCGGTCCACTAGGGACCGGTTCAATAGGGACAGTCGGCCTTTCTTGGGCTAGCTTGAGCCATTCACAAGTGTTTTCTCTTGATCTAAATTGTGTATGTGGGTAACTTTAAGTCATGTACTTTTTATAAAGATTATTTCTTCCTTATTCTAGGATTGTTTTTCCTTACAAATATAAATGATTATATGGATATTTGATCATTGATTATTTATTTGATGAATGCAATAATTGTTGAGGCTAATCATGAGTGTTTTCTCTTGATCTAAGTTGTGTATGCAAACCACTTCAACTTGTGAATAGAACCAATTTTCAAACAATTAGAGCTTCATATTTTTCCCTAAATTTTGCATTTTATTATTTTTCAAAATTTATAGTTTTTATTATTACATTAAATATAATAAAGTTAAGGAAAATTTCATCTTTTTACTTGATATGTATAAATATTCTTTTATCCCTATCTCAGGGTTTCCTTTCTTCATAAATCAAAATGCTTATATGTACATTTGTTAATTATTTATTTGATGTTGTTGAGGCCAATTATGAGTGTTGTATTTTGATCTGTGTTCTATACGGGGATCACTTCAAATTATATGAATGATATTCCTTTTTTTCTTTTCTCATTGCTTTCATTTTTGTTTGAGGTGCTCAGTCCTCCATCCATTTGGTATCAAAGCGAGATGAGATTTCCAATAAGACCAACCATTGGTATTAGAGTTAGGTTTTTATTCTGTGACATATGAGTTATGGAGGATGCGCTGCAATTATTTCGCCTGTAATAAAATAAAATATTTGATCCAAGTTTACCAGCTTATTTTGGTGTCCATTTTTAGACGGAAATGACCAATAAGGGGTCATTTATTTACTGTGTTCAAAGATGATTTAACCTAAACGCAAACTTTTTATCAGACTATGTTGTACACAGAACTAACTACTCAAGGCTTGGATTATGTCAATCTAACGAATTTCTTAGTTTTGTGATTCATAGGATTGTAGAATGGGTTCTACTGGTTTTCCTAATTATTAGCATTTTGAGCAAGATAGATTTACACTGTACAGTGGTTTGCCAGGGAGAAAAAATGTGTATTGAGTGTTAAATCCCTAGCAAACAAAATGGAGTAAATAAATTGCTAACCAGAAAAGGTTACATATTCCAGCACGATGATCTTGTGATGGCTAGTTCCCTTGATAGTTACTCGTTATCTCTCTGAGTGGTGGTGATCTTCCTCTCTAACATGCAATTTTTCTACAGTGGTTGCTCCTGCATTACATTTAAATTCTCTATATCATGAATAACCAACCTTTGCTCTTCAACAGCATTGATCAAGGCTGGTTCAAACAAATTTAAATGTTATTTACTAATTATAGAAGACAATTGTATGTATCTAGAAAAATCTTTTTTGTACACATTTTCTTCAATTCTTTACACTATTTTGAATGACCCATATCTGATGCTATGAGAAAATCAAAATCCATTTTAGTAGCGGCTCCTATTGATGAGTAGTCATAACCGTTTTTCTATGTATTTATGTATAGTATTTCTTTGAATAAAAAAGTTTTCATTTAAAAGCAATTAGTGATATGCAGAAGACTCTTAATATTATTCTGGCTGATAATTTCCTTTTTTCCATAGGATTCACTAAGAAATGATTATAATTATTATCTCCTTGTCTAAAATTTCCTGAATTTTACTTTTTCCTTTTGCAACGGGACGCCAGAAAATAGAAGTTATGCCTAAATTTGTTCTTCCTAATATTTTTGCATGCTAGCTCATGCAATATTTGTCTCAATCTCATCTTATTACCAGACACATGCCCCTGCTTTCAATAGGATGGCAAGGAATAATGTTGTGAATAAAATATGATTGTAGCACTCTTTTGTTTTCTTAAATTTCTGCTATTTTAGATAAAAAATATCATGTTAGAGATTGGAGTAATATTTCAACCTTAGATGATAAAGAACAAATTTCAATTAGAGTTCAATAACTCAATGTAATCCTTCATGGAATGCACATCCTCTTCCTCCTCTTTCCCTAGGATGATTTGAGCCTTCACTTCCTTATGGAAGGAGCAGTTCAGATACTTAAGTGTAATCCTCTAGTGTCAATGATGTTCTTTACGTGCTTTCATCCTTCTCCCATTTACTTATTCAGCAGTAAAATAGACCGAAGAGAACAAAGCCTCACCAAAATTGTATAACTGAAGAGCGATGAATTACCATTGCTTTTTTGAAGAGTCAGAGATAGTCCCAGCTGAGGACTATCTTCTAGAAATGGGATAATATGAATATCAAATATTAAATAAATAAAAAAAATCTTCTAGAAATGGGAAAGATTTGAATTAAAGTAGTTGGATGTTGGCGCAACCCTTTAGATCACCATTTTGTGCCTCATTCTTTGTCACTAGAGTGCTTGCTTCCAGCTTGTATGGTAAGTATCTTAAAAATTTGGTATCCATTGGAAGCAATTTTGGTAAGCTATATAAACTATTGTTGTTATTGTGAAGTTTTGAAACATTTTTTTACATATTAAAATTTTGATATGAATGTTTTCTTTTAAATGATTATCACCAGACAGATATTTTTATTTTTAGTATTAATTTTTAATGACTTTTGTATGGAATCAAGGAGTTCTTATAATCTTATTAGAGCATTCTTTACAGGATATGCCAAATGTCTATTTTCTTCTTTATTGAACGTTGCTTTAGATATATTATATATATAATAGATTGATGCTGTGCCATTCCCTAATCTTACATCTTTGTCATTAATTGTTTGTGTTTTACTAATATCATCCAACCTTGATTTGATGAGGGGCAGAAAGGGTGGTGGCAAGATTAGCGCTTCAGGAGGTGATGGCTTGGCTGGAGGTGGAGGAGGGCGTGTGTCTGTTGATATTTTCAGCAGGCATGATGAGCCTGAAATTTTTGTTCATGGTGAGAGATCTTTTCTGCTTACGTATGGCATCATATTAAGTTAAACTGTAATTGAGTGTTTGCAGGATCAGTGATCATCATTTAATAATGCTATTGCATTGGTGATGATTAATATCTTTTTAAAAAAATTGGTTGTCTTAAGTGGTGTTCAAATTGGATGTTTCTTCATGCATTCAAAGCCAAGGGCTTATTTTATATTTCAGTTTTTTTTCCTTTTGTTTGATGTTTAGTTTCAAAATTCTAGATTCTAATACATAAAAGAAATATTTATTTTTAAAATGCTTGTCTCCATTGCTTGTTTTACTTTTTCGCAACAATTTCTTAGGCACTGCAATAACTGTATCCAGTTTCTTGATACATATCAAATGCGAACCAATGCTTCCGTTGATATTCCTACTTTCTTAAGCTCAAGAAAATCAACATAAAAAAAAAAAAAAAAACACACTAAACGCCTATCATATGCTATATTGCTTTTTTCTGTAGCATCCATTTTTTCATCTTCTTGGAAATTTAAACTTTTCATTTGCATTGGAGCTGCATCTGGACTTATTTCTATCTTCAAACCCCACATTTGTACTTTTTAATGCGAATGGTGTATACTGCTTGCAGCTCTTTTGAGTAAATTACAAGATAGCCTGATATTTTTGCTCAACCCTTCATGTTGGTTGGTCGATTTTTTAAGCTAATTAGGCCCCAAATTTTCTTTGAGGTCTTAATTTAGTTTTTTTTTATTGTTTTTCATGGTGGTTATATCATATTTAACTAAATTTATAATATTCACCTGATAATTTAAATGTAAGTTTCTCAAAATTTTTAAATTTATTGAACTCAATATACTTAACATCATTGACTAGAAGAAGGAAAGTTTAAATGCCTAGAGGTTGAACTTCAAAGGTTCCATTTTTATCCAAAACATCCTGGCTTTATAATCGAAATAAGTTCTTGAGAAAGAAAATGAATCATAATTCATTGAGGAGAGAAGAGAAGCAAAGAGGTGGAGAGGTATAAGCCGGTGACTTAATTGTTTCAACATACAAGCATCCTATTTATAAGAGAATTTAAGCATGAAAAGAAAGTAGAAGAAAGCAGACAACAACAACAACAATACAACATCAAGCCTTTATCCCACTATGTCGGGTCGGCTATATGAATCATTTTTCGCCATTTTGTCATGTTAGGAGTCAAATTCACATTTAAATCTAATAAAAAAAGTCATTTCTAATATTTTCTAACCAAGTCTTTTAGATTTATCTCTACCTTTTTTAACATATGCCAAATATAATACATCTACTCTCCTAACCGGGTCATCAAAATGCCGACGTTTTATGTGATCAAACCATCTAAGGCGATTCTCTCTAATCTTATCTACCACTGGAGCTACTCCAACCTTTTCACAAATACACTTGTTTCTCACCACCATCTTATAGAATTTTTCCTTAAGTTTGAGGGGTATTTTCTATCACACAATAGTTGCATTCTTCCACTTCAACCATCCAACTTGAATTCTATTAACAATATCCCCATTTATTTCACCATCATTCTAGACAATAGGCCTGAGATATCTAATACGTGTGCTCTTATTAATGACTTGATCGCCTAAAGTCACAATCCCCCCACTAGATCTATTCCTACTAAGATTACATTCCACGTATTTAGTTTTAGATATACTAAAATGAAATCCTTTAGACTCTAAAGTGACCTCCATAATTCAAGTTTAACTTCAACTCTCTCTAGTCTTATCCACAAGAAGAATATCATCAGCAAAAAGCATACACCAGGGTACATTCTCTAGCAAATGTTTAGTAAAAATATCCATGACTAAAGCAAAAAAGATATGGGGTTAAAGTTGATCCTTGATGATATTTCTTAACAAGAAAGCAGACCAATGAAAAGAAATAAAAGAAATCAATTTGAGATTTTTCATAACAAACAACATCATTGTGACAGAATATGCTAAAATAATGCATCATCTTTATTGCAGAATAAAATGATATTTGTTATTACTTTATAGGTGATTTTGATAATATATTTAATAGCAATGATTTAGTAATAATGTGCTGATTATGAACTCATCATCTCCCTGGGTAAGAAGTAAGAACTCTTCTTAGGGGAGTGCTCAATAAGATACTCCACCAATAGGGTAGGGGTCTACACGGTGCAGCTCATTAAGGTATCATCAAAATAGGCGAGAGGCTCTGCCAACTAAGAAGTGTGCTGTTCCGTTGAGCCAAAAGTGATCTCATAAATGATTTTATGCTCCACAATGCCTGCAGGAGTTGCTAGGATGCAAGGTAGAATAAAAGCAATGGATGTAGGAGAAACTCCACCTAATAGTGCAGTGTTTCATAAAATCGTCTCTAAATTGGTCATAGAAGATATCTATTGATTCTTCATTTTGAGGGTAAGTTTTTGAAATCGACTGGTGGTTGAAGAAGGAAATCCAAGATATTATTTCGGTGTGAAAAGCGGCACCTTAAGAAGCTGTGGATTTAATTCTGTGTGTATATATTTATAATGGGAAGATTATTCTATGATTACAACTGTAAATATTTTTTCCATGTTCTAATGTAGGCTAATTTTCTTCCTGAATTTGTCTATAAATTACGATGTATCTAAGTGTTGAATCAATAAGAAGTTATTCCTTCAGATTCACCACCGGTGATAATGATACAGGGTACAAAATAATTGTTAGTTTAATGGAGGAGAATTGGTGCTGGTAGGCAAAAATTAAGAGATCAAATTATGACGTCTGCTTGTTGTAGAAGAGGATGTTGAACCTAAAATGGGTTAATTCGCTACCTCTTTGGGGCTAGTTAGCTTAAATGGGATTTTCTTTAGCTCTTTAAAATAGGTATCCATGTCGATGAGTAAATTAATGCCATATGTTCTTATTTGGTTAGTGAACCAGTAGTATAATATGGAATAGGTCTGCTTATTGATATTCTTGAATTGGTTGATGTTGGTGATTTATGGTTGCATGTGTTTTTTAGGGTTAAAAAAGATAGATTTCATGTTTGATATGTTTAAAGTGTTCAGTTAAGTTGTTTTAATCAATAGTATGTCCAGCTTAAAAATCCTAGTCAATCTTAACTATAGTTATACTTGTTAATAATATTTGTTTTAGTTAAAAATTTTCTTTTTGGGAAGATATGATGACACCCAAAAGGAAATTATTTGCGTATTTGGTTGCGATATTGCAAAGAATTCAAGCATTATGTTGCATTTTGCATTGTTATATGCTTGGAAGGCTTGCTCTTCCTATTCAAAGACTTGCAATTGTTAGTGTTTTGGAAGAGAAAAATAAGCGCATGCTTTTAGCAAATGTGCAACGTAAGATTTCCATTAATTTAAATATATTACGGGTAATGTAATATTTTAGTGAAAAGTGAATACAGCTGATCATGGTTAGACTACACTTGATGTAGGCAAAGGGGGGTCAAACATTTTGAATTATAAATTTGGAGAGCTTCTAGGTCCTCTATTAGATTAGCTCATTAATGTCTAGTAGAGAGCCTTTTTAGCTCATAAATTGAGGTTAATTCCCCCCCACTTTGCAGCCCCTTTGGTTCCCCCACCTAGCTCTCCTTCCCATGGCTGATTCCTCCCCCTTTTATTGTCTGTTCCGGTCCCCTAGCTGCTGTTCCAGTTCCCCGCTTGGCTCCTGGTCCGGTTCCTGTGCAATCCCTTCGGTTTCCTCCCTGATTGCTGTTTCATGTGGCTGTTTTACCCGGTTCATGTGCTGCCTTTTTGGGTGCTGTTATGGAATTAATTTTGGCTGTTTGGGAGCTGTTTTTGGACTGTTTCTGGACTTATTGCTGGTTGCCATTTTTGGGTGGCTAAAGTTGTCCTTTGAGCTCTCTTTTGGTGGCTGTTTGGCTGCCCCTTTTTCTCCTATAAATATTAGGTGTTTTGTATTCAAAAGAAGGAGATTATGTGATAGTTTTTGGAGCCTAAACCTACGGGTTTCTTCGTGGAAAAGCTTGCGAGCTTGTTCCATTCCTCTCTTCTCCTAGGAAAGCTTGCGAGCTTCTCCTCCCTTTCGTCTCGACTTGCCTCCTATCCGCAAGTGACCATTCCAATTGTATCGTTCTTCTCAATCAATCATGAATGCAGGTTTAGGTGTATGTTTGTGTTTGTGTTTGTGTCAAAGTTTGTAATAATCTTTTATCTTATAAAAGTTGTCTTTTTGAGTATTTTGTGTCATTTTTATTTTCTTAGGAAGAGTTGCTTTTGCTTGCAAATAATTAGGGGTTGTCCTAATTTTTGCTTGCATCAATTTGGTATCAGAGCCTAGGTTAGGATTTTCCTAGGTTGTTTGTCTTCCTTTCTTTAAAATAAAAAAATCGGAAAAGAAAGTCAAATCCGTCAGCAAGCCGAAGTTCCGATTCATGTGGAAGATCTATCATCAGAATTGGCTCATTTAGCTTATAAGGGAATGTACTGAATTCGACTCATCAGGAGATGAAAATTTTCAACCGGAGGAGAATTGATGTAGGCAAAGGGTGGGTCAAAATATTTTGAATTATAAATTTGGAGACCTTCTAGGTCCTCTACTAGAATCAGCTCATTAATGTCTAGTAGATAGCCTTTTTAGCTCATAAATTGTGGTTCATTCCCCCCCCCATTTTTCTGCCCCTTTGATTACCCCACCTAGCTCTCCTTCCCATGGCTGATTCCTCCCCCTTTTATTGTCTGTTCCGGTCCCCTAGCTGCTGTTCTAGTTCCCTGCTTGGCTGCTGGTTCGATTCCTGTGCAGTCCCTTCGGTTTCCTCCATTGTTGTTATTTCCCGTGGCTGTTTTACCCGGTTCATGTGCTGCCTTTTTGGGTGCTGTTATGGAATTAATTTTGGCTGTTTGGGGGAGCTGTTTTTGGACTGATTGCTGGTTGGCTGTTTTGGGTGGCTAAAGTTGTCATTTGGGCTCTCTTTTGGTTGCTGTTTGGCTGCCCTTTTTTATCCTATAAATATTAGGTGTTTTGTATTCAAAAGAAGGAGATTATGTGATAGTTTTTGGAGCCTAAACCTGCGGGTTTCTTTGTGGAAAAGCTTTCGAGCTTGTTCCATTCCTCTCTTCTCCTAGGAAAGCTTGCGAGCTTTTCCTACCTTTCGTCTCGACTTGCCTCCTATCCACAAGTGACCACTCCAATTGTATCGTTCTTCTCAATCAATCAAGAATGCAGGTTTAGGTGTATGTTTATGTTTGTGTTTGTGTCAAAGTTTGTAAGTCTTTCATCTTATAAAAGTATTCTTTTTGAGTATTTGTGTCATTTTTATTATCCTAGAAAGAGTTGCTTTTGCTTGCAAAAAATTAGGGATTGTTCTAATTTTTGCTAACATCAACCCTGCATCAATTTATTATTTTGATCAAATGCTACTAGATATGCAGATACACTCAGAAGTCAGAAGTTAGATTCTTTGTGGAGGTTTTTTGTTATGGTTTACTTGTTTATTGCTGAGGGATTTTATAACTTTGACCTGTTTTCTAATATGATTGGGAACAATTTGAAAGGCCATGCCTAATTTAAAGTCTTTTCATATCACGTTTACTTAGGCATGATACTAAAACATTCATTTCTATCGTGTACAAACCTGTCACCTTTATCTTCCATTGGTGTTCCTAGGGTAGGGCCGGTAGGCTTTTATTACCGAGTGTTGATGCTGTAAAATGGTCGTCTTGGTTAAACTATTCTAGCATCAGCATTATGTCAGCTGCTTGTTAGATTTTATTTGATGTTGAAATCCTTTTTGTGCTGCTCGTGCTGATCTATGCATGTTTGCTGTTCTCACTATCTGTTGAATCTTAGCTACGTTGTGTGTTCCATCAAACTGGCTTTAAAGTTTCTTGTACTTATATCCAATTTTCACGGATCTGGTGTTTCTCTTCCATTCATATTAGTTTCGTATTAGTTCCTCTTTTGTTTGTTTTCTTCTAATTGATTGCATATAATTTGTCTAATATATATATAGTGACGAGGAAATTTGTGTCTTGTTTGCAGGAGGTATGAGTCTGAGTTGTCCAACTAACAATGGTGCTGCTGGGACTCTTTATGATGCTGTACCTCGAAGCCTTATTATGTCAAACCACAACCGCTTAACATGGACTGATACTCTTCTTTTAGAATTTCCTTATCAACCACTTTGGACAAATGTTTTTGTTCGAAATAATGCCAAAGCTGTTGTTCCTTTGCTATGGAGTCGTGTACAGGTGAGTGAAAAGATACACCTCTATTAAATCTCTCAACTTGGGTAAGTTTTGGATTTATCATCTGAAGGTAAACTAATAGTTTACATTATCTGTGAATATTTATGATCCTTGGCATTATAGTGCCTGAAAAGTAACTCATCATAGTTCTGCATCGTAATTGTTATTTGGATCCATACGTGATGTAGGCAAGGAATGGGTCAAAACAAGTTGAGTTGAAAATTTTGTTAGTTCTACTTGAATCAGCTCATTAATGAGCCTCTTCTTATGTTTCAAGCTCATAAATGCTTTCCTCTACTAGATATCAGCTCATTAATGTCTAGTAGAGAGCCTTTTTAGCTCATAAATTGAGGTTCATTCTCACATTTGTTGTCCCTTTGGTTCCCGTGGATGGCTCCTTAGTTCCCGTGGATGGCCCTTTGGTTCCCGTGCCTTGGCTCCTTGGTTCCCACGGCTGGTTGCTGGTTTTCCGTGCTGGGTGGCCTCTCCCGTGCCATGGTGCTTCGGTTCCGTGCGGGCCTCCTTGGCTTTTGCGGCTGCCTCTTCGGGTTCCGCCTGGGCTGCTTTCCCGTGACTTTTGGGGGGCTTTTCCGTGGCTTTGGTGCTTCGTTTTCTGGAGTTGATTGTTGGCTTTTCATATTCCCTATTTAAATTAGCTTTTAATTAAGTTTTAGTGGCTGTTTGTATTCCTCTTTTATATCTATATATAGGAGAGTTTGTGGCTGTTTTAGGATATGTTATGTGATTGATTTTTGAAAATGTAAACCTGCGGGTTTTATTGGAAAAGCTTGCGAGCTTGTTCCATTCTCCTTCTCATCTCCCTAGGAAATCTTGAGAGCTCTTTCCACCCTTCGTCTTGGCTTCTAACCTATTTCGTCTCTCCGCAAGTGACCACCCCACCTTTATCCTTCTTCTCAAAGTAAGCAATTTTAGGGTGTCTTGTTTGAGCCAAGTTTGTAAGTGTCTTTTATATTATAAAAGTTTGTCAAAGTTTGTAAGTCATCTTTTAATATTAAAAAGTATATTTTTGGGTATTTTTGTGTATTTCTTTTATATAGGAAGTTGTTTTTCTTTTGTGATAAAAAATTTGGGTCCCTCTCCCAAATTTTTTGATTGCATCAATACGACATGGCATCGTTATAGTTATTTGGGTCCATACGACATGGGTTTTCATTTGCTAGTTTGAAGGCATTAAGTGTTTAAAATATTTCCTCGACTTATAGTGTAGCAGGTGAATAAACTTCATTGCCTTATCAATTTTAACATTGAAAAATTATAAAACATATAATAATGCTGGTAATGCTCCTAGCAATTTCCACCTTGTTTCAATTATAATTGCTCGAGGCACTTTTGGCAGCAGTTTCACCGTTAAAATGATTAGACTTTCTTTGTTTTCCTGTTAAAGAGAGTCCAAATTTTCAGCCCTAAATTCTGATGGCCTTATTCTGCTGGGAAGTGTCATTTTTCCATTTTCCTTCTGTTTGAATTCTCTTTTGTATTTGAGATCGATAATGCCATCTTTTTGTGCATTCATTTGAAAGAGTTCAACCTGTGACAGCTCAAGTACTCTGGTGTCTAACTCTTTGATCTCATATTTTTGTAGATTTTTATTAGTTCTTTGTGTGGCACATTTTGTGCATATTGAGTAAATGACCGAATTAGGACTGGGAATGATGAGGTTAGGCCCAAAGTGGTATGATTTTTATGTTGCACCATATTATTTTTCTGAAGTAGAAGTGATGTCATACTTGTAAAGAATAATTAATGGTAACTGACCCAAGTTTTATTTTGGAATATTAATGATGCTTCTGCAGCTGGGAAGGATTTTGTAGTGGAAGTTGTCTTTATGATTAATTAAAATAAAGTAACTTATAAGGTAAACTTTTTTGTACAATTGTTTACAAAATAAGGTTTGGTCACATAAAACGTCGGCTTTTCGATAAATCAGTTAGAAGAATAGATGTTAGGGTGCAAACGAGTCAAGCCGACTTGTGAGCTTACTTGTGTGCTTGCTTGAGCTTGACTCGGTAACGAGCTCACGAGGCGAGCTTATCAAGTTTCTAGCTTGAACTGAAGCAGATTTATGAGCTTGTTGGGTAATCAAGCTCGATTTTGATTGAGTTCTTCTTGACTCATTGACTTGTCGAGCGGCTCGAGCGGTTCAAATAGGTGGAAGGCAAAACCATGGAAGCGCAATCACGGAAGGCGGAACTGGAAGCGGAAGGCAGAATCATGTATTCTTTTTACGCCTTGTGAGCCCTTATCTATTGCCACGAGTTGAGCTCGAGTATGCCAATTGAGCTCGAGTCTAGCTCGAGCTCGAGTTTGAGCTTGCCATTTGGCGGACGAACCGAGCTCAAGTTAAGCATGACTTGACACAATGGGGAAAAATGATTCTTGTAGCCGACCCTACATGTTTAGATAAAGGCTGGATGCTGTTGTTGTTTACATAATAAGGTTTGCATTTTGTTTCTATATCTGGTGATCGTGTTAATTGTAATATTTCATTTCTTCGAAAAACTTACTCTATAAATCTAATAAAAAAATTTATATTTGGAGATCTAATGCTTCAATCATTCTTTAATAAAATAAAATAGTGTAATTACTTCCTCTATAAATTACTTGTGTCTTACATGGATTGCCTATTGTTTTAATCATGCAAATACTCTGAGAAGAAGGAATTGATGGAAGTTAAGTATTGATTATCGGTAAATGTGAGAATCTAAAATATGGCTAAAGAGTTATTGCCCTACATGTGGTGGATATTCAATTTTGTAATTTGTGTGTAAATATATCTGAAAAGATAAAAGACGATATGGATGGCCGTTGTAGCTGTATGTATATTTTGATTTTAAATTTGCATTTCTTTCTACATGAGATTGACGTCCGCTATAAATTGAACTATGGACATTGTTACTTTCTTCATTATGAATTTGATTAGACATGCGATAATTAAAAAAAAAATCTAGAAGTTTGTTATGGAGATCATTCTTTGTGGAGCTATTTTGAATTTGGCCAAAAATTCAGTGCAATATTTCTTGAATATATTGATCGATCCTTAGTTATGGCAGGTCTAGATTTATTTGATCTATGATATATTAGAATGCCACATATCATAGATAAAAATGACTTTTTTATTAGATTTAAATGAGAATTTGACACTAAATAGGAACAATAGAGAAAATGATTCATATAGCCGAACCCATATAGTGAGATAAAGTCTTGAGGTTGATGTTTATGATATATGAGAATGTCACCTTATTTGAAGTTAACAAGGTGTGATGGCATGTTTGGAAGTTAATTGATCTGGAACTGGTGGCTTGAGTGCATGCAACTGGCATGTTGAGGGGATAATGGTGATTGGTGAATTAAATACTTACTAAAAGACATACTTGTGTATTTCTTTTTGGTATGGTATATAAAATGTGAATTTATGAGTTTCTACAAAATGGATTGATGACTTTGATTTATTTATTTAAATGCTTGTATTCCAGTAAATTGCATATTATTTGTGAATTTGATATATGCAAATTTGCATATAATTATTAATGGTGAAGTTGCTAGTTTCTAGGGCTCCTTTTAGGTTCTGTGAAGATTTTGATATTCTACCCTATGGAAGCATTTTAAAAGATACGCAATATGGAATGATGCCGGCAAGGGGATTTGACATTGTGACCTTTAAAAATAGACACATGCTTTGAACCACAATCACAAATGTTAAGTGACTTTGAGTATTATATAAAAGAGGGCTATGATAATTTGAGTATTATATTAAAGATTGCTACGAGATTCCAAGTAGTCGAATAGGTTCATGTAATGGGATGAGGGGATAAGGCATTGGTGTTCAGAGAGTGATGGGTAGAAAAATTGAGGATAAGTTATAAAGAAAAAATTGATTCCATTGATAATAGATATCGTATTAAAACATGATGCACAATTTCTAGACAAGAGATGAATGACCTCTAAAGATGTAAAGACAAAAGATAGAGAGAGGAGAAAAGACATGAAAGCTTAACCAATGATTTTCTTTTTTTGTAATGCCACGTTTACCGCCCTTAAAAACCCTTTTTGGAGCATTTTTTTTATTCATTTACTTATTGATTCAAAGTATGAAGATGTAAGAATTCATATGGCATAAAGCCCGTGGTATGTTAAGTAGCTCTTAAGAGAAAAGTTTAGGGTGAGAAATGTGCAAAAAAAAAAGAAAAAAGGATGGCATTGACATGCAACTTGTTTAGGATGGTACAAGTCATTACTAATGTTCATTTGTTTCCAACTTATTCGTGCTAGGAGAGGGTTCAAGAAGTATGAGAGAGGTGTAAAGTCTTTGTAGAACAAAAATTGACGTGTCAAATGGTTGGTCGACCTATGATGGCCCTTGGTTTTTGTGTGAGGTGAATTCCCTCTACTATTACCTGCTGCTGTGAGTATACAATCACAAATTACCTAATCTTTTAATATCATTTAATGGATTTATCCTAATCATTGATAAGGAAGCATGCATAATTTAAACAAACAAAATATACTACACAGTTTTTATTAAATTCATACAAAATTTATACATTTCAAAAGTCTTTTATTTATCCTAAATTGTACATTCATCCATAATACTAAGGTACCTGATAAATTAGGTCTTTTGCCTATGGTCTCATTTGCTCCTTTCTCTTTTCAGAAAAATAATCATCATAATATCTGATGGGCTAAATACTCAACATAATAAATAGTTCTAATGTAATATTCAAACATACAAAAAGTGAAATAATAATATGCATGCTAGTTTTTTGAACTAACATGAGTATTGTTTATTATATATATAGCTAGCTTAGCACAATGATAAACTTTAATGAAGACTTGAATACTTAAATAAATAAAAGACTTAATTTTAAGCAATGAGCATTAGTATATATTAGAAAATGAAGTATCTTTGTCAGCATTAAATCATTAGACGCACTCTCTTATCAATTATTTTTCTAAAATTCCTTGCCCACTTTCATTTTCATTCTTTTTAATTAATTCTTAGAAATATCATCTAATGTATGTAGGATTTTGGCATATTTTTATCACTGGTTGTTACCAAGCCTGTCAAGCCTAACAACTGCTAATAAAATTTTGACAATACAACATAACAATTATCAATGGCCTCTGGATCTTAAGGTTGAACCTTATAATACCAACTTTCCAATATCAAGAGTCAAGAACTCTATTTTTTCTTATTGAGGTTTATCTCATCAGAATCTTTTATCTCTTATTGCGCAAGTTATCATAATTTGCCAACCTATCTCATATTATATGAACTTTCTTTGTAATCTTTTAATCTAATATCATTATTATTGGCATTTAAATTTGCTTAACATTGCTTAATCTAATATCACCTATTATTAATTAATTAGTTTAACATGCGTCAACAATAAATATGATATATAGAAGTCAATCTATATACTTAATATGCACGAACACAAATACAGGGAGATGGACACGACAGGACGTGAACACGTGACACATCTATTATTGAAAATATGAGACAAGACACACGTTGGACATGCCATTAAAAATTTATATTTAAAAATTAGAATAACACATAAATTAAATGAAATAAATAGGATGAGCTTATAAAGTTATAGTATTGTTCATTATTTTTATTACTGTTCCTTTTACAATATACATACAAATTTAAACAAAATATCAAATAGGATAGCTTAAACAAATGACAAATAAAATGATAGCATGGAAGTTTAAAATGTATATTGTTTGATTTTTTTTTTATTAATTGTGTTTCATTTATAATAATCTTATTAAGTTATAGTTAAAGATTATTTATTTGGAGTATTCATCTTCATTCCACTTGATCATTTAGTATTTGGAGGATCTTGGGCTTTGGCATCGAGAGGAGAGGATGTCAGTTGCCGCTTTATTGTGTTTTGGGGTCGGCTTTGGCGTCAAGAGGGGAGAGTAAGTTGGTAGACGAGCATGTGAGAGTCGTGCTTTCAAAGTTGACGGTTGAATTTGTAGATCTGGCATTGTCTACTCATACCCTAGCCGAGTGTGCTTGATAGGGAATTGAAAAGTATGAAAAATATTTTTTAAAAAATAAAATCCTAAATAATTTTTTAGGAAATGTCTATCTGATTATTTATTTATTTTTTAATTGGATAAGTAACACTTGTGTTTAACGTATGTCGGATATTGCCTACCCCCTTGACATAAAATGTCTATACATGATAGACTTAAATAGACACACAATCTTATGAACCAAGTTACTTAGAAATATCTTAAATTTATTTAAATGAGTGATACTATAAAAATACATTAGACTTGTTAATATCATCTTGTCATGTTCAATATAAGGAAATTAACAAGCATTTTGCTTATTAATAATTTTTCCTCTATATTAGAGGTTGAGTATCTCACCTAAAATATATGATCTTCCTCGGGACTTTTTTCTTGAAACCTTGCCTTTTTGTAGACAATGTAGAATATATGTAACATTCATATAACATTTAGTATATGCATCACATTTTCCATTTCATTCATTCATTCCTTTATACAGTTCATATATAATACATTTCATACAAAATTTAGCATTTATTTATTTTCCAATTCAATTTGTACAAGAGCACCGTCTAAATGTACCAATAAAGGTATAAACGTTTCCATTTTCTTTTCTATTTTCATTTAACGTGAGCGGGTACATTGCTTCTCCGATCAGTATCATACGGTGGTGAACTTCTGTAATTTGCATGCATATTTTTTCCCTTTTCTTTTATTCATTTATGCTTTTATTTATAATATAGGTCATATCATTTCTTTCCTCATTGTTAATTCACTTTTTATTTTCTTTGCATATGCATTTATATCCATAATATCATGTATTTGATACATATTTATTCTATCATTTTCATTAATGTTAAAATTCATCATCACATATGCATTTGAATTATTTCACATAATAACATCAAAATATGAGCAAAATAACTATTTAAACATTATCTTTAGAATTTAAATAGAAGTTCAATAATAAAATGTCTATACAATTGTAATTACCAACTTTGAATATTTCTGAGCTTTAATTCTTCCAAACCTCAAGCTTTGCTATGGATTTTTCAACACTCGTTCAACTCAATATGAAGATCCTCGACTGTTCAAATAACATTAATGAGTTCTTAATTAATATAAAACTTCAACTAGGAGTACTAAATGGATTTTCAAAGCAACATCAAAGATTCCTATTCTTCTTACGATAATCTAATTTACTTCAAACATTTCTAAAGAGAAAGTACATTATTAATCATACCATAAAAGAGTTCTAATTCATTCCAAAATTTACCTCACCGAAATTTTCCTTCATTTCTTGCAAATCTCCTTCTTTCACCATCAGATTTAAGTTTGCTATAGTTTGATTCTTCCTACAATAATAATCTTTTCTTCAATTAGAAGAAAAGAATTATAACATTTTCTTTCTCTTAGTTTGAACAGAAAGAAAGAATAAGAAAAAGAATTTTACTTACGTTTTCTTGTGAAGAAACTTTCCAAATCCAAATGCTTCCACTATCTCCTTCAGATTTTCTTGCCTTGACCTTTATAAAAGATTTTCCACCACTTAGATAGAATTTCTACGAAATGATTTCATAGGAATAAAAGAATTACAATCAAATCCTTCTTATTCACCTTTTTTTCCTCTTCGATTCCCCTTCGGCATGTACGCGATTTCTTCCTACAGGAAGGAGCGAACTGAAGATATGTCGCGAGAGGAGCCGTTAGTTTTCTCCCACATATGTGATTATCCACTTGCGAAACGATCCATCTAGGAGGCGTATACACGCTTGCGGTGGCCGCTTGGGTCGCGCTTGGGTCGCGGTTCGTCTGCTAGTTTGCTCAGATTGCCCTCTGCTACCGGTTAGAAACCGGTTCAGTTGAACCGGTTAAGCCGGTTCTCACAAGGGGGTATTACACATGACTACTTATATTATATGTGTACGAAGTTATGATTTGAAGAAGCCCGTGCCTTGTACACTGATAGTAGTTGTTGTGAGGGCATGAGCTGTTTTGTTTTTTTGCTTCAAATTATCTTGAGCCTTTTCTGTATGTATTGTTGATGGGGAATTAGCAAGTTCTTATTTTTCAGTGGAGTTTCCCATATGGAACCTATGAATTTTACGTATTATAATTTTGTTCCTCCTGTTTTTGTGTCTTTCACCTTTTCTGACATGTTATGGAATATCTGGCTAGAAATTTTATGGCGTGACTTGCATGTTTTATAAATGTAATTATTGTATTGAACTAGATCTGTTTTAGAGAACTTGAATTGGAATTCTAATATCAGTTGATACTTAGCATACCTTATATTTTCATCTTGGTTTTGGCATTTTGTATACACAGCTCTTCTGTTTTGCATTGTTGATGTACTGACATATTATGTTGCTCGATAATGTACCCTCTAGAAGATTGCTTTGGCCATTGATGCGTTTCACCAACTTTAATGCTCAGGTTCAAGGACAGCTCAGTCTACTTTCTGGGGGTCTACTGACTTTTGGTCTGAAAAAGTATCCATACTCTGAATTTGAGCTCATGGCTGAAGAACTTCTTATGAGTGATTCTAGCATCAAGGTGAAAATGTTTCTAATTTTTCCATGATTACGTGGATATTTACTTGGCGCATGCTTGATATGATATGCCTTGCAGAGTTTAATCTTTGATAGTATCTCGATATTACTTATAAAAGTTCTAAGAATTTTCAAGAGGTTTGACTACATCAGATGTTGTCATTTTATTGCATGCGATGATGTATCCGAATTGAACAAACATTGTAAACAATATTGTAAATAGGAGTAAAAAAATTCAAATCCAAGATCTGTTATGCTGTCTATCAAGTGATACCCAATCCCATCTGAATTGTTCTTGTATTTGTATTTTGGCGATCCTCGTCTGTTTTTTCCCTGGTAAACATTTTTCGAATGTTGTTTGTACTTTCTAAAGCATTATAGCTTCAGTAAGACTGCAGAATAATATCTTTGTGCTCAATTCTGTAGCATATTGCTGTTGCACTATTTGCATTTTTTTTTCAAATGCCAAACTGCTATTGTTCATGTTCTATCCTGATATAATAGCTGATCAAAATATGGGCAGCTAATATAGTAATATGTGCATACATGCTTAAGTTTCACTTTACATTTTCTCTTTTTAAGCCACTTTTTTTAGATATGCTTTAGGTAAACATAATGAAATTATTATTAAAGTGACTAAATAATATGGATGGGTTTTCTAAACCTTAAGTAATGATGCGATGAAATTAAGAAGGTAGAGTGGGAATTGATTAAATATTTGAGTGATGATTAGAGCAGAGCATCAGTTGGAGATGAAATTATGAAAAATGATTCTATTTAGTTTGATTATGATAGTATTGATAATTTGATATTGACATATCAGGAAAAGAGGTAGATTTAAGGTAACATTACTAGAAAAAAATGCTTTTACACAATCACCTCATGTTACACTCTTTAGAAAATGAAAACGTGTCTATATGAAGATCTTACACTTAAACAAGTTTAAGAGGTGTTAAAAAAACGAAAAAACACACTCGCTCCCTCTCAACTAGATTGATGTACGGTGAAATTAAGAGGGTAAAGTGAGAATTGATTAAATATTAGAGAGATGATTGGAGTAGAGCTGTTTGAGATGAAGTTATGAAAAATGGCCCTATGTGGTTTGATTATGATGGTATTGATATCAATGTCTTTGGAAGAAAGGTAGATTTAAGTTAATATCATATGCAAAAATGCTTTTACACAATCTCCTTATGATACAATATATATTAAATGGAGTACGGCTATGAAGATCATATACTTTAATACAAGTTAAGATTTATTAAACAACGCAAACATACATACACTCTCCCTCTCAGCTAGACTCTTGACCTAAAATAAATATTAAATGCCTAATCCATCTAACTAGCTTCTATTACTACTGAGTTGCTACTTGTCTTTGCTTTTACTAGGCAGAGGAAGCCTAGATCAAGAAACAGCAAGATTAAGAATCCTTGAAAATGAGAGATAATGTAGTGAAGGATTTCATTTTTTTGGACATTTAAGTTAATTAAGGCAAATTCATGCACACATTACATATGCAAGATTCAAACCCAAGGCATCTTGATTGATAGCCAAAGCTCCCAACTAATAGATCAAGGTGAGTTGCGTGTAGTTAAGGATTTGAGTGGAGGGAAAAAGGAAAAAAGACTAGATTGCTTATGAGAACTTGAGTGAGCGAGCTAGTGAATTTTCTCGAGTTACCATATGGCTGCAAACGATTGAGCTGAGCCGAACAAGTGTTATTAGTGTTTGAGCTCATTTGTTATCGACTTGTTCAAGTTTGACTCGAGCTCGATTCAAGCTTTTCTGGTTGTTTTCAAGTTTGGTTCATTTAAAATGATAGATGTTCATGTTAGGTTTGTGTTTGTTTCACATTTAGTTTATTTTGTGCTTATCGAGCTTTAAACAAACGAGCCTTATCGAACTATTAATGAGCTTTAATTTCTAGATGTTCATTAGCTTAACAAATGAACCTTTTTAAGTCTACTGACAAACGATTAATTATAGCTTGTTTGTGAACATATTGATGTGATACCATGCAAAGGAACAAGAATTGCTTGGGGATTTTAATATAAGATTATTAAAACATTGCTAGTTATAGATTTCGTGCTTACCCAAGTTAGGTTTTCAGAATTATCAATTAAAGACTATGCAAAGCATGTAGTTACAACTAGATTAACGGGATGCTATCAAATTAGCAACATAAAATAAAGAGAGCAACGTTATGGCAAAACAATAATCCACGACTAACAAATAGAACTCTTCACCTTGGGTCCCTCACTCACACTCTTGACGGTGGGGCTTTAATGGAGGAAGATTGAGAGCAAACCGAACAATGCCACTAGGAGACAAATGGTGCCCAAAGTATAGTCCGTTGGGGAAGTAGCCAGCGGCGGGTAGTCCACGAGATGACTAGTGAGTATCCAACGTCCGGTAAGAATGTGCTCCTTGATGGAAGGTACTAATGTAAACAGGATGCGGTGTAAGTAATCCTCCACGGAAGAATCGACGTCTAGGTTCACGTCAAGGAAAGGAGATTCAAGGATGTTGGTTCGTCCTTGATCATCAAATAAGAAACCATGGTCGACTTCCAGATCGGCCATGCATGATGGTGGTGGAGGTTGGAAGAATCTCTCTTGAGTTTGGTGAGGAGGTGAGGGGATGATGGGGGAGAACTTGGGTGGGTGAGGGGGTTGCTAGGGTTGGGAGTCTTTGGGTTGAAACAAGTAGCTTGGGGGCAAAGGTGATTGGAGGGAAAATCTGAAATTTAATTTCAGATTTTCATTAAAGGGGAGGTGCCAATTTGAAATTCAAATTAACCCAATTAAAGGAGTAATGGGGCCAGCGGTTATTAGAGGGATTTAGGGGGGGGGGGGGATAGAGGGGGAAGAGGGGCCGGCGGAAGGTGGTGGGGCGGGGTCTAGGGGTTAACGGAAAAGGGGAGGGGGTGGGGGTGGTTGGCCGGTCAGGTGGTGGGTGGTGTGGGGGTAAACCAGCGGCTAGGGGAGGAGGAAAAGAAAAAGAAAATTGCTAGAAACCAAGAGCTCCACCAAGGGGCTGTTGGGTATTGCTTTGAGACTCTCCTAGGCTAATCCTCACTCTAAAACTCACAAAGAGATCCAAAACCAAAGTTAAAATTTCATATCAATATTCATCATCTCCAAATACAATAGAAATGACCTATATATAGGTCTCACCCAAAAGAAAAGAAACAAATACTAAATTGTGCTCGGGGCTACAACAAATGACCACCATAAGGGTAAAACAGTAAAAACTGAAAATAAAATAAACTACTACATAAATGACTTAAAAATATAAGCTCCTGATCGTAGCCGTCGATCTCCGGTGTCTCCGATGGTACACGTGTCGAAATCTTTGACGATGTCCTCATCACATATCTAACAAGTATTTTTGAGCTATCAAAAGAGCCACTTCACAAGCATATCTAACAAGTGTTTTGGAACTACATAATGAGCCCATTCACGAGCAAACGAGCTCAGAAAATAATTTTTCTTATAAACAATTTTGTTCATGAACACTTTAAACAAACAATCCAACAAACATGAACAAATACCTCTTATGAAAAATATACCAAATAAATATTTATAACAAGATTTAATTGATTCGTAATGAACTTTATTCACAAGCTCTATATTAAATGTTAATCGACCTACTTAACGAGTGTTATATCAAGTTTATTTACAAGCTTTGATTGATGCTGTTTATGAACATAAACGAGCTAAACACATAGTTGTTAAAGTTTATTTATTTAACAATCGAGTATTTTAAAAATTGTTCGAAATTGTTTGATTACTTAAACAAGGATTATAAACAAGTTGTAATTGAGCCGAGCCACGAGTAGTTTTTTGAATGCTTGATTCATTTGCAGCTCTATCTTATGGTCCCTGGCTAGTGTTCCCAAGCATTGATGCAAAGTAGAAGAATCAAGAAATTGCTGTTTATACTTTCCACTTCATTAACCAAGTCCAGGACATGAAATTGGATGCACAAATACCAAGGAGAAAGAGGGATTGTTAAGATTTTGTGGGAGGGATTAGAATTTCCATCCCATTCTTGCTAGGTTGCCTTAGTTTGGCAATGAAGTTAGAAGGAATTGTGTCATGAATGAGAGCATGAGATAGGAAAATTGAGGATAAGATTTGTTGAGAGGTGACAATTTGATGGAATGCCAAACAACAAAAATGACATTGTGGGTATGTCTTTATTTTTATTTTTGAGAGATGGGAATAAGTTGTTAAGGCAACCTGGCTGGTAAAGATAAGAAAGGTGTAAGATAAGAAAGAAGAAGAAACTATTAAGAAGAAATTCTAAGGTTAGGTAAAGTAAGGAGGATCAATCAAGAGGAAGAATGTTAGAGCAAAAGCGATTCTATTTCTGTCTTCAAGTTCAACTAATTGAATTAGAGTCTTTAGTTTAGACCCTATTCTAGAAATAGTCATTATTGAATTTTGATAAAGCTACACCCAATATGATATGAAAATACCAAATTAGTCTTAAATAACACATGATGTTTAAACATTTTATAGTTAACTACAAATATGATAAGGGTTGTTGCATGATGATACTGAATAATATATAGTCATAATGGACTGAACTAGACATGCATTGTTGACTTCTTTGAGAACTATACTCCAAAGAAGAAATATTGTTGACAAAGAGCTGAAGGTTGGCAATCATATTACAATGTAGTGACATCTATCTCAAGGAAGGTAGATGAATAAGAAATCCATCGCGAAGAAGAGGTGAAAATGGGACATCATTTCAAGGAGGAAGAGATGAATGAGAAGAATATCACTACATTTACAATATCAGTAGAAGACTTATACTTTAATCCTTAAGAACAATTTAACAACTCTAGAAAGATGCATGGAAGTTTAGGGAGATTCATTTACATTTTTATTGATCTTATCATATGGGTGTTTTTTGGCTTTAATATCAAATTAATGTCAAAGCTACTTAAAAAGATTACGTTACAATGGATATCTCTTTGATATGTTTCTT